AAAAAAAAATCACAATTTGTTCTTTCTTTTACTTTTCCTACAGGTGAGCAGTAGGTCCTCCAGTCCTAGTATCAGAATGATCACTACCTCAGGACCAACTTCAGAAAAACCAGCTCGAAGTCATCCATGGACCCCTGATGATTCCACAGGTTACCTTTATGATTATAATTATGAAGTTGAAGGCATCATGCTTATTATGCTCATCTAATTTTATTATTAATCTTTATAAAAATGGTTTGCCACAGTAGTTTAGATTCTCATAGTAACTTAAATTTAGCAACAAATGGAAAACGTCTTTTTGAGTAGTGGGGGGGAACCTCATTGCCCTCTGATTTTCCGCTTCAGATATTAAACATGTAGTTTAGATGGTCTGTTTTGGAGATTTTCCATATAGGAAGATACTGTATTCTTGAGACTTCATTCCATTGTTTTCCTATTATGATCCATCCTTTGGGATGATTATGGTAAAATCATTATCTTTTAAATGACTATAGCCAACAAAATGGTTTGAAAAATCATCTCAATCATTTATTTTAAAAACATAAGCTATATGAGAGAAAAATTTCTAACTATTGACCTTTTGAATGATGTTTAGCCAGCTGGTAGATTTTGTTTAGTTACACAAATATTCTGTTAAATAGCCCTTCCAAGCCTGTTTAGACTTATTAAACTGTCCAACTTAAAAGCCGGGTTTTAAAATATAAATATTAAAAATCTATCTGAAGTTAATGGTTGCATAGTTTCATAACAGGTGAGCAGTCAGTTATGTGCCATAGTGAAATTAACTTTTCCTTAGCATTAAAAGAATACTTTAATAGTCAGTAGTATACTTCTGTAAAAATTATTTATATGTTATTATGTCAGAGAAGGAAAGATGATATCTCAGACTGGAAAATAAACCATTTGGGATTTTATATAAGATTAACTGTGGTATTAATAGTGCAATTAAATGGAAATTTAATACTCAGCTTTCTTATAAGTATTTATAGGTATTAACATGGCTTAGTCAATTTCATAATTAATTTTAAAAATTAACTGGGTAGTTTTCTTCTATGTGATGTAAGATTGCACTATGTTTAGCCAAGGGTGTGCTCTCTAGCTTTAGTAAGTTTAAATTTAGTGGTGGCAAAAACTCCTCTAAGTTCCACCCCTCCCACAGCCTAGCTTCAGATTGTCCAGAACATTGAGCACTGCTCAATATTTATGCAGTTCTGACCATCACAGTGCCTCTCATCAGAGGTAGACATGGAAATGCTCTTGACAGATTTGATCATTGATGTTCGGGTGACACCAGCTGCTTCTAGTTTATAAACTCATCAGTGAAGGAGTACTCCCCGATTATAGCTCTTGCATACCTCTGTGGTATTCAACTTAGTACTTGACAAATTACAACTGTTTGACCACAGCCTCTATAGACTAAACTTAACATGTCAGTAACATGGCAGATTATGAATTCATAAGGCTAAAATCAAAATTCTCTATGAAGTACTCTCATTTTACTATTGTGATTCTCCTTAATTTGTTCTCCCACCCTTTCAAATCCTGTCTTTTTTTTTCTTTTCTGGAACCTAAAATAACAAGTACCAATAACTAGAAGTAAGACTCAGTTGCAATATCCATCTGAGTTTGTCTTTGCCTTCAAATATATATGGTTATCAATTTTTAAGTAATTTTTAATACAATTTTAGAATAGCGTCTCTGGTGAAGATTATAATTAATGACGTTCAGCTTTGCACTATTTCTAAGCAAAGTATTGATACACTAATAGAATAAATTAATGGAAGTAATAAAGTGAAGACTTTTTCGTTGAAGGCCCATTGACCCAGAAGAAAATTAGAAGTGCATACATAAGTTAAAACAGTCTTAACTATTGCTTGCTTCGGCAGCACATGTACTAAAATTGGAACGATACAGAGAAGATTAGCATGGCCCCTGCGCATGAACAACTATATACCAGAGACATTTTATAGGGGTGGAATGGGATCAAAAACAGAAGTGGGAGGGAAATGCACTGGACTGTGATGATGGCACATGGGTAATTTGGTGATGGGAAGCCCAAGGGGATTGCAACTGAGATGAAAAAATGCACAAAATGATGTAAAAATAAGCTATTTTTATATTTTTGTGTATTTTTTATTAAATATGTATTTTTAATTTATTTTATATATGTATATATGAACAGTCTAACTAGATATTTTTTATTTAAAAGCAGGGAGGTTTCTATGTCTTGTCTTTAGAATAGTAAAGCATATATGATTTTATAATCATAGTATATAATGAGTACTCTTAGATTTCTCTTTATAATGTAGTAGGATTAAAGACAGACTTACCTTCCAAAGCAAATAGTGAGAGAGATATTTAGACCCAATAGAGGGAGCAGAAAAGGAGGAGAATTCATTGGGTTTTCTACTTTGCTTAGTACTTTGCAAAAGTAAAAGTAAACATGAGACATGGCCCACCGCTTTCAATCTGATTTTGTTGTAATGCTGATCCAACACACTAAAAATATACTCATCATGCAATATAATAAAATTTATAATACAAGCTTTAGTGTTTAATAGTGAACAGAGAAGTCAATTAGATTGGACTTGGCATAGCCTATGACTTTTTGTAAAATAGTGCACTTGTTCTTCAGTCACAAAGCAGTAAAGAGAAGATAGCATTCCACAGAAAGTTAACATTATACTTAAGGATTATGCGATAGTTACAGGATTGTGTTTGAAGGCCAAGAAAAGAGTTTTCACTTAATTTAATCAAACCAGTGAATCTCAGCATTCAGGAGAACATGTTCAATTTAACCAGCAATTAGCATTTAGAAAGCAAACTTTCATGGCATAATCTTGCTGTCTGTGACTGGTCATTGCTGTTAGACATTTAAAGTTAAATTTCAGCTAACATTTAAGTTAGAAGGTAAACTCTCACATCTTACCTTTAAAGAAAAGGTGAAATTCAATAAAGAACCTTAATTTCCCCACCAGTGGAGGATTTTAATAGTTTGAATAGTGTGATCCTTGAGCTTTTCTTTCCACTCCCAGAGTAAGTGAAACATTGCGATATTCTCAACCACACATTATCCTACTTTAATCAGCTATATCAAGTATCTGCTATTTAAGAAAGAGTGAATAGGTATGAGTGGAAATGCTAAATCGAGGGAATAATTTTTTAGTGCAGTCAGGGAAATCATGTTTAAACAGTGTTGGTTTGGTAGAAAGCAGTGTTATGTGGGAGCATAGTTTGGAACTACTTTTGAAAGTAGAGAAGTGATTGGTTGGAGAAATAACAAATTAAGTGTATTGCTTGTTTAGCCATTTCAGAAATAGATTCATGTTAGCATAAGATTTGAGGGTAAACGAGGAAAGGCACTGCTAGACAGTACTCTTTTGTTATTTTTTTCTTTATTGCACACCAATATTTAGCAGACATTATTTTTTCAATCTAAAATATACTAGACTATTTTAAATTGCCTATCTTCCCTAACTCCATTTAATACCAATAATAACAACAGCATGTTGTTATTACTGTGTAATAATAACCATACGAGTGCTTACTATATGAATATGTTCCTTATTTGCATTATTTCAATTGGTCTAATTTACCTTAGCTTTTGGAATTACTTGCAAGTGCATTCTCAGTGGCTTAATAAAGAAAACATGTCAATCAGCAGCAAATTAGAGGTTACTGAACCATCAAACTGAGATTTTATTGGATTAGATTCAGTGCCTTGCTGTCATGCTGACCTTATTTATACTAGTCTTTCGAAGAGTTCCTTCAGAAAAAATGTTAGTTCACTCATTTATTATTAACTCATTTTAGTCTCTGCTAAGACAGCTATTTTGAAATAAAAAAGTACCTAGTAATTAATAGTCCATCCTGCTTACTCTTGGAACAATTATACATAGGTTCCTGTTGGAAAGAGCTCATCTCATGTTCTTTGTGCAGGTTGTTACAGCAGTTTTACCTCTTGAAATACAAACAAAATTCTAGAAGTTTGGTAAAAATGAATATATTATTACAATGGTTGTTAATTAACCCTTTGAACTGTTTTTGGTTTAACATTGAGCCACAGTTTTCATACTTTTCATATTTGTAATTTACTCTTATCAATAGCCCCTTTTTTTTCCTGCAGTGATTCTTACTGGGAGGAGTGGGGTGGGGAGAGGGGTCTCATTAGAATCAGTGTAACTTGAAAATGATCTGCCAGCATGTTTCTTGCTTTCCTTCTTTTCCTGGTAAGGGATACTCATGTTGCCAGAGTTGACAGGACCTTACAGCAAACTTTCCCATGATTGAAAAGAGGAAATTGTGGAGTTTGATTAATTGGGTCCCGTTTGGATTGAACTTAAAATATGAAGGTGCCATTTCACTTTGTATTTATAGTTAAATAAGGCCTTACCAGCCTTAATCTGTTGTATTCTGTTCAATTTATAGTGAACTTAAACTGTAAGTATGAGAATGTCCCCTGTTGACCTTTAGAATTCAAGAATAGGCTCTTCATTACCAGTAACACTATTTTTATTTTTTTTGTTATTTGCTTCAGGAATAAAAACAATATTTCATTCATGCTTCCTTCCTTTTTTGTTTATGATTATTTATGACAAAAATAAATACTACATACATGCTTTAATTCCAGATACCAATGGATCAGATAACTCCATCCCTATGGCTTATCTTACACTGGATCACCAGCTACAGGTAAAAGAGTACTTTTCTCAGTGATTGTGTACTTTTTCTTTTTCAGAGTTTACCATTAAAGCTGATGATTGTTTTCCTGTCTGTTATTGTATATTCACTTGTTTATGCTTTTAATTCACCTTAATGCTTTAAAAATCAAGTTAAAATAAATGATTCTTTCAGTTAAGCAGTTAAGTTAATCAAATTTTAAATTATCAAAATCATGTAGTTTTATTCCACCAGTCATCTTAAAACACTCCCATATATTTGTTCAAGGCTCCAAGAATAGCAGTGTTGTTGTTTAATTTTAGTATAGTAAAATGTAAAACTCTTAAAGTTTGTTGCTGCTTGAATAGATTTTTTTGATACATTGCCATGTTCATATGATGGAAAGTGTAAGTAGTCCACTTCAGACTCTCATGAGTATGAGAACTGTTATAAACAGCTGTTGGTTTAATATAATTTGGCAACCTAGAATGTAAAATTTCAGGGCAGTGTACTCTGCTCATGGTACTCTGTAACTAGTATTAAAGCAGCACATGTACTTTTAAGTTCTAAGTTAACTAACAAAAGGACGTTGAGATTTTTCTAGGGCGTGATTTAACACTTATTTATAAAAGATCATTTGCTTTCGTGCTATAAAAATATATTACACTCTGTTGTAACTCATCTTAGCTAGATATTGAGATTTGACTTTATGTTTTAACATTCCTGATATATTTTCAGCCTCTTGCACCATGCCCAAACTCCAAAGAATCTATGGCAGTATTTGAACAGCATTGTAAAATGGCACAAGAATATATGAAAGTTCAAACAGAAATTGCATTGCTATTACAGAGAAAGTAAGTTATCTTTTATGACTAAAAATGAAAATACCCTAGTGTCCTGAGTTTAAAACATGTAGTTTGATGGCATGAAAACATTGTAGTTTTTAAAATTAACCAGTAACCATCTTGCTTAACTTGAAGATTTATTTTGTTCCTGTTTATGTTTTAAGCACCCATTGGCTTAAAACTTCATATAAAACTCGGCTCTTGATTGTATCGTGTTAAATGCTAAGGTAATTAAGTTGGTATAAACATGTCTTATGTTCTCATAATTTTAAAGTTAAAAGCTATTTAGATTTATTCTTATAAAGATTTATTGTTGCCTGAGATGTATGTAAAATAATTTGATTTACTAATATTCAGTTGTGCTTTATCTTAGAAATATTTTTCTAAATCCATCCTTCCAGATATAGATTTAGAAAGTTAGAATTACTTGTTAAAAACTCTTTTCCTAACTATGAGTATTTGTCTGGAAAATTTTAGTCTCATATGTGTTTTTCTGAGACTTTCAGAGATTGCCTTCCTTCTTCCCCTTTATAAATAATATGGTCCAGTTTCCATACTGCTTTATTTGTGATTCTTTACCAAAAAAAAAAACTTCCATTTTCTTAAGCATGGCCCTCATGAAATTCTATACCTGTGAGGCTGATCTATAGTGGTAACTAAAATGAAGTGTTGTAGGACAAAATACAGCCGCTACATATATGCCTGGTAATATGATTCCCTTTCTTCATTTTAATCTAAATAAATGAAAATTATTGTTTTCGAAGTAATTTATGCAAAATTTTCTGTGTGTACTTCAAAAGTTTTATCTCAGTTTACTGATAAAGTGATTTAAGTGAACTCATCCTGGTATTTTAGATAGGAAGCTAAGTAAGTCTGCATGTCTTAGAACTAATTATGGATCTTGCATATTTCTTTAAACTCTTATTTCACATACTTAACTCTATTTCTTCCTACTTCAGTCATTTGAAAAAGAAGTTCTGTGCTGGAAAAAGCACAGTGAATTTTGGGAAGAAGTAAAAAACTGACATTTAATTTTAATACTTTAAATGAGAAATAATACTGGGAAATTATTTCGAGGGCTTTTTCTATGATTCAGTTATCTAGTAGCCTCACTTTAAGAACTTATATTGACTGTCCCTCAAATAAAAGGGACTTAAAGAAAAGTTAGTATTGCTCTCACTGTCTTACAATAGATTTAAGGTAGCATTAGCTTGCAGTGTTCTTTTAGCTACAATTTGGCACTGTAAATAGGATTGTGACTTAAGAGTATGAATTATGCATACATGAATATAAAAGAATATGAATGATAAAACCTTATTTTCCTATGGACAGTTTTCCTTTCCCAACCTTTTCTCTTCCTTCCTACACAGAAGAGATACTAAATAAAATTTTCTGAAAGTTTTTTATGTCATTTTATCTATTTTTTACTAGTGCAGTTACTTATTAAAAGAATTATGCTATTTCTATGGTTATAACAGAAATGGATGTTAATGTCTGTTTCATCCATAATTATGTTTTGGTAACATATGTACAATATTTAATGGCAAACCAGTATAAAGTTCTAATTTTTTCATCATCAGCTACTGAGTTATGAATGCTTCTATCCTGTGTAACATTTTATTATGTGGTGCTTGTTTTTAGACAAGAACTTGTTGCAGAACTGGACCAGGATGAAAAGGACCAGCAAAATACATCTCGTCTGGTACAGGAACATAAAAAGCTTTTAGATGAAAACAAAAGCCTTTCTACTTACTACCAGCAATGCAAAAAACAACTAGAGGTCATCAGAAGTCAGCAGCAAAAACGACAAGGCACTTCTTGATTCTCTGGGACTGAAAAATTTTATAATATGCAAAGAAAGACTTTTTTTAAGGAAGAAAAACCCTTATGGTGACAATTCTTGCGTGTTAGCTTTTTGGCGTGTTCTGAATGCCAACTGCCTATATTTGCTGCATTTGTTTCATCACTTACTTTCCTTTCCTCATCATGGATATGCTGTTCAACCATCTCCTTGTATAACACGGGAGCATCTGTGACATGAGTAAGCAGCAGTTTTCAACTTCAAATCAGATGCAGTGAACTATGGCTGTATGTGCATGCCCATCGTGTGAAGGCTAGCCTAACCAGAACAGGGGTGTCAGACTCGCTGCTATGTGCAAACATTGCCTATATTTGAGGTAGAACCTCAAGTATGATTTTGTTCTTGTATCTCATCTCAAAAAAACCTAATTTTTTTCCCCAAAAGTTGGTATATACCAAGTAAAGACAGGGTATATAAATCAAGAATAATAGATGGTACATTATACAAATGCAGAACTTGTAGGAATAGCTCACAGTGAGGGCTCTGAGGCCAGCATCCTTGGATTAGTACTGAATTTAGTTCCATCCATAAACTATTTAAAGGTAAGTGGTGGTGGCTGCTGTATTTAACAAAAGCGTATTTCATTGATTAAAATTTGACTGTGATACATTGAACAAAATGAAACTTTTCTTTAAAGGTATGAAGATTTTTAATTTTGTGACTGTGTGTGTGTTGAAACTGTAAAACTTTTATGACTCTAATATTAATATCTCTTAAATGAAATTAAAAGGTAAATGAACTTGATCCAGTTTAAATGATCATTCCTTCCTGCAGTGATTATTGGATTGTTTTATTCTGTATTTGAAAAACTGAACAGAAACAACAGAATATAGAAATAATTATCCCAGCTAAAAGGCTTAGAGATCTTTTTACAATACAAAATCTATTAAAAAACCCCAGCATATTAGGGAAAGTTAGTAAGGAAATTAAAGAAGTAAATATAAATTTAATAAGTACCCTATTTATCAATATTAGAATAATTGATTTTCTTTGCAAGCCCTACAATGCCTTCTGCCTTTCAACACTTTGAGGGAATTTCAACACTACAAAGAGAAAATTTATATTGTTAACAGTAACTTTGCTACCATCTTTGAAAATAAAATAAAATTTCATTGAAGTAATAGACAATATATAAGCTCTATTTTTTCAGTTGGTATTAAATCAACTTTGATACCAGTACAAGGCATCTTTTAAATAAAGATGTCATCAACCTCATTTTTATAGCAATGTTTTATGAAGAGAAAATTAAAAATGAAAGCATAATCACTATGATTATTAGAATTATATCATAGTTATGTTGTAGTTTTGCTTTATTTCAGATTAGTTGATCTAAGAGGTTATCAAAACTGTTCTTAACAATGCTAAAGCAGGTAATTTTCTTTCATTAGTTTTTCCTCCTCCCACTGAGTTTATATTGTATTCCTGTGTATACAAGCAATAAAAGTAAAGAACAGTTTGTACTAAACTGTGTCATTTTTAGCTTCTTAAATCTTTTATTAAAAATACCGCTATAACTTCATGAGAATTATCATTCCCAAACATTAATTTCATAGCTATAAATGAGGTTTGGCTCAATGTATTAATAGTTAAATAAAGTTGGCACAGAAAGTATCTGCAGATTAACAAAGCATATAACTCACTCATAGCCTTGCTTGGCAATCCATCTGGCACTCCATCTAACAGGATCTAGTCAGTGTTCAGATACTTCCCTAGTTATATCAGAGCGTGAGACAGCCAAACGTGGAGACTACAGCTTGACTTTCCCATTAGGATTTAGCATGATAGGTTTTAGATTTTATTTCTAGTCATTATATGTTTTTGCTATATCATTATATACTTTAGAGAAAGTATTGTTTTTATTACATGCAATCGTGTCATAAAAATACCTGAAAAGTTAAATGGAAGAGGAGAGTCTCATGGTACCAGATGGAAAGAAAAGGCTGTTGACCAGTTGCTTGTTTGTTTACACTAAGTTCCTTCAGATTTTCAGTACTATTTTCCTGAATATTGAGTACAGTTCAGCCTTACTTAGTATTTAAACAGTTGTGTGGCCAAGCTTTTACTTTTAAAATCCTGTTTATCCTTGATGATAGACTAAGATAGCAAGGATCAGCAAAATTCACAGCCAGAGTCTTCAGTGTTCTCACCAGTCTTTAAAGAGATGTTATCATGGAGCCATAGCTTTGTATTAATTTTGTTTTTGCTGTTTATTCTAACCCTCTCTTGTTGAGTGGAAATAGCAAACACACAAGCAAGTTGGTAAAAAGCCCCTATCTTAGAAATTCACATACATCCCTGAAAAACCCTAATTGCATTTTATTCTTGCCTCCAGGGAAAGAAAACAAAGCTTTTATCTAATCTAGGGGAAAATACCCTCAGTAGTAAAAATAGCTTTTTTGACTCAAATAAAAATAAGAATATTAACCTGATAGCAACACAGTATATTGAAGAAATTTGTTTAAAAACTGTTTACAAATGTTTGACTATTTTTGCTGAAGTATTATAAAGTATTGAATGTCTTTTTCTTCATAAGTTTCTCTTATGCTCCTACTTTTCCGACTGCCTATAGCCAGAGATCACAGGGCCTTCCCTGTGAAACTTTCTCTGTTAAGTGTATGTGGTTTTCAGAGTCAGCTCCTCTCTTTCAAATGGTAGGAAGTTCTACTCTGTCATTCAGAACATTTTATGTAAAATGATATAATGCAGAAATCCTTACGCATACTGTATAACTGAAGGAAGCGTTTTAGATTTATTTTTGTTTGTAATAAAATTCAGATTGTTATTCTAAACTTGTTCATAAAAACGGTGATTTAAATCAAGAAATTATTTATAAAGTGTTCTCCTTCAGCACATGTTTACCTTACACAAAATGTAATAAAAACTGCAAGGTAGTATTCTTACACGAGGTGACACGATTGTTAATATGATCATGGTTTGGGGGAGAGGATGACTAGCTATGTAACACATCATCTCCAATTTTTTGTTAAATGAGTGCCCTTAAGTGAATCCAAATTTGTATGAAATAGAACATGGTATATGCATTGTTAAGTGATTCTTCTCAATAGGAGATGATTTCTATACAGTATTTCTAAGTACCACCAAGTCATTCATTCATCCCAGTATACACATAGTCACACAAACTTGCTTATAAACCCCCCATCATAGTCACTCTTCTTGAACAAATATTTATTGAACACCTATTTTAAACTTAACTGCTATAACTAATACCAAGTCACATGTCCACTTCATTCGCGTGGTAGTTACCTGATGATACCAAAATGTCAGTGTTCAGGTCTAGTCTCCTAGCCAGGACCAGATCCTGGCTGCAGCAGTAGTGCTGAGTCCTGGTCACTAGGCCACCACAGGTTGGTGTCTCATGACGGAGCAGGAACTTTGTTGACTCTCAGGCAAGCAAATGAGAGGAGGCAAATTGGTTTAGAGAAAGAAAACCCTTATTAAGGAGAGAGGGAATAGAAATGAAGTGGGACTTCCAGGCTGATGGAACCAGGCCAGGAAGGGGCAAGGTTGCCCAAGTGGAGTCTTGCCTCAGGGAATATGGGCCTTCTTTCCCTAATTATTCTAATCACAAAGTCTCTTTGTGATTGGCTAGTTCTCAGTCTCACTGTCTTAATGTTTCTGTGTTCCAGAACTAAATCTCTGTGTCCCGGCCCTTATTTTAGATTCCTTTTTCTGTGTTGTCTTTGTGAAAGGACCTGTTGCCCTCAGTCCTGAGGTGTTTAATTAGTATCAGCTGCAATTTGTTACCCTTATCTCTGGAGCCACCTTTACTTTTCTGAAGTCCCTGAAGCCCCATAACTTGCCATAGGACTCAGTGCTATGCCCACTTCTCAGGTGAGAAAGTAGGTCCCTAAGGTTAAATCTTGCTTTTGCATCATCACCCTTTTTAAAGCAGAATCTACATGCCTGTAGTTTGAAAAACAGCTAGAGAAATGTTTTCACTAAATGGCAAAGAAAGAGGGGCATGAGGTATCTTCAGGTTTGCAAGAACAGGAGCTTTGTCACCACTGTGGGGTGTTCAGCACTGAGGCTTCATGTACCTTACATTTTAGTGTGCACTGAACTGCCTTGCCACAATTGTCATTAAAATGTTCAATGAGTCCCACAGTGCTTTCGTCCTCACATTCATTTATACAGTAGATTGGATGTCTTCATTCTTCTACCCTCTTCACCTGAAAGACATGCCCAAAATAGAAATAATACTCTTAAAAGTCCAAGAAGTTGAGGCCTAACTTAATTTTTTGTTGTTGTTCTTTTGTTTGTTTTTGCTTTAGGAGAAGTATTTTTTGTTAATTGGAGTACAATTTTACATAATAATGGGCATCATTTGAATTGTACCATTTGGCCCTCCCTGGTGCTGCAGTGGGTTGGGACACAGCACTGCAAGCTAGCAGCAGCTGCTTCAGTGAGCGTTTGATCCCCCGTAGGGAGGTGATCCACATGGCAGACGTCTCCTGACTCGCCTACTGCTCCCCTCAGCAGTGTACTTCAACTACCTGCCTGTCCTGCTCCCCACTTTGTCTCCAGTGAATCCTCTCACTGCCCCTGCACCTCTGGCCTGTACTCCAGTTCTGTATGCATAAATAAATAAATCTTTTAAAAATAAAGGTGTACAGTTGGTGTTTAGACAGTTGTGAAGCCACCCAAGAGACAAGATAGTGAATGTTCTCCAGCCTTTCCTGAGGCTTTTATACTCCATGCCTCCAGGCTTAAGCCATTGATCTTCTAATAGTGTAAATTAGTGTTTGTTTTCTAGAATTTCACATTAAGGGTATCAAACAATATGTCTCTACTTTTTAAGCTTTTTTCCCCTCTGGAGTAGTTCTTTAATTCCTTGGGGTATTTTTTTTTTAAAAAAAGATTTGTCCATACAGAATTGGGGTACAGGCCAGAGGTGCAGCAGCGGTGAGAGGATTCACCAGAGACAGAGTGGGGAGCAGAACAGGCAGATCGACAAAGTACACTGCTGAGGGGAGCAGAGGGCAGGTCAGTAGTGGACCTCCAGGGCAGGCAGGGATGGAACTCATGCTGAAGTGGCTTTAGCTTCTTAGTGCTGTGCTTTAACCTGCTGTGCCACCAGGGAAGGCCTCCTTAGGATATTTTAATTAAACCATATTAAAAATCTGTGTCCACTTTCAGGGAAAGCAGGTTTTCAGAAGCTTTATATGTGTCCATTATGGCTTGCTTGACTGCAGTGTTATCTGAAGATTTAATTTTGTTTTTACAAAATCCCTTGTTTCTTAAAGTATGTGTTTTTAAAAGATTTATTTATTTATGCTTACAGAACTGGGGTACAAGCCAGAGGTGTGGTAGGTGAGAGGATTCACCAGATCAGAGTGGGGAGCAGAACAGGCAGATGTACTAAAATACAATGCTGAGGGGAGCAGCAGGCAGGTCAGGAGAGGACTGCCACGCCATGTGGGTCACCTTCTTGGCCCGCTATTGAACTCGTGCTGCTGTGGCTTCAGAGAGCTTCATAATGTGGTGCTTTAACCCACTGTGCTTCCAGGGAGAGCCCTCCAAGTATATTTTTATCTGCATAACTTTTGATGTTAACAATGTGAGTGAACATGACAAATGACATATTAATAAGTCCATAGTAGTGTTTTTGGCAAATAGAGTTGATTAGAATAATTTTCAAAACCAAACGTTTGTCATTTCTTTTTAGATTACAGTTGCTTTTTGCTTGTTCACAAATACAAGATCTAATTATTACACCACAGAGCAAGATGAGAACAATAGAAGTAATAGTAAGACATCTTCAAAAATACTTAAGATGTCCATGGTTCTGCTTGGTAAGCGGTGCCTGTGGAATTAGGTGAGGTTGCTTTGGCATGTGCGCCATGCGCTGGCAGGCCCAGCGCCCCTTTTCCATTAGTGCCGGCTCACTGCTCTCCTGTTTTTTATGCTCCCTGCTATGAGGGGTCACCAAAACGGAGCTGCTGTTTAAATGACCCGTAGTCATTTTCTTCAGTGAAACTTGTCTGAGAATGATTATTTAACTTTGAGCTTCGGGGTGCTTTTATATGTCCAATGCATTCTTCATCCTCTAATTTAATGGTCAGTTTTATGACAGCAGGATAATTGCTTTGAAAACACCAGAAATAACAGCAAATGCTGTTTCAGTGTAGAAGTCTTTCAAGCTCCTTTGCTGAGTTTTATTATTGGGAATTTAATTCTTTTTGGTGTGATTGTAAATGGGTTGTTTTCTTGATTTCTTTCTCTATTTCATTGTTTACATACAGACATGCAAATCTACCACTTTGGAGTACTGATTA